GACAGTTATAAATATATTAAGTAGAAAGATCTCAAGTACACATTGTTGAATGGGAAACAAGCAGAATACTATATGTGATATTATGTGGTATTCCACTATTTTTAGTGTTCTACTATTCATGTTTCTAAGAGAAAAACTATAGATTTGCTATGGGTGCCTATGTATGTAAATGTATAGGAAGAAAAGGATTTGGAGAAGGAACTAAAGTGTGCAACAAGTAACACACTTTTCTGAAAAAGTAATCAGAAAAGATTTTACTCTTCTCCGATTTTAGATAGATAGATAGATAGATAGATAGATAGATGATAAATAGAAATGGATATATCATAGATCATAAATATATCGTTTAGCAATGTATCATATACACAGAGATACATACATGGACATAGAATGCATGCATATACTTGTAGCTCTTAAAATGTAGATAAAACAGGCCAAGATGGTACAAATTGTTATTCCCCTTGTATAAATAAGAAAACTAAAGCTCAAAGATTGCCCATATGTGCCTAGGCACACACAGCCAGCAAGCCCCAGAGGAAGGAGTGGAGCTCGGATCCGCCCTCCCCATTGCCTTTCCACCACCCCACCCTGCCTCTCAAGGCCACCCAGGAGTTGACTACGACAAAAGGTAGAAGAAGCGGCCTCCTTGTCCATACTGGCTGGAATGGTAAAAGCCAAATGCAATGGAGAATTGTGTTTTTGTTTTTGTTTTTAATTAATGAACCTGTTGGAATGTGCCATTCAGCAGTGGAGCTGAATGATTCCTGCTGTTCCTGCAAAACAAACAAAAATCCCTCAACCCAAGCTACTTCTGTGGCCACTTTTCTAGCCTTATCTATCCAGGGATTGTGAAAGGGACACAGAACTGTCCGAGGGGCACCTTCTCCAGCTGAGACCCAGTCTCCTGACTACCCCCCCGGCTTTCCTCCCACCACACTGGCAGACTGGGTACCTTCCCCTGGGGACCCTTAACTCGTCCCCACCTGTAAGTGAAAAGTCTTGAAGCCCTGAAATGGCTTGTCTCTATTAACTTTACTTCTCCCTGGGCCACCGTGAGACAAACCAGGTCCTTTTATTACTGAGACTTGATGGCTTCAAGGGTCTTTTCCAGTTCTAATATCCAAAGAACATTAGAGTTTTCCTCTATGATGCCCTAGAATAACAATAAGCTCTCCCTCCCTGAAGATGATGTTTAACTAAAACCTCTGGCCATTTTGGCTGTCTTCATATTTTTAAAGAAAACCCAAATGTAGAAGAAAGGCATTCTTCAAATGTTAACCATCCATTCCATCTCCTGGTCACCTTAGAATATCATGTGTCAATGAAAGTTGACACATTTTTGAAGCATGGTATAACTGATAATATGTTTTAGCTGTATCATTTAGCAACTAGGTGGCCGTAGGCAAGCACAGTCTCTTCAGCCTCAGTGTTTTCCTTCTGAAAAATGGGTGCAATGCCTACTCTTAAGGTTGCTGGGCGGGGGAGGGGGTGAAAGAGATGGCATTTGGGAAGTGCTTGCAACCAGGAGGGGCCTGAGAGATACCTCTTCCTTCCTCCAGCCGGATAACAGCTCTCCTCTTTCCATGGTTTCCCAAGATATCCACAGCCTGGGTCCCCCAGACTTGCCCTACCAAGTGCTGGCACCTCTCCAAAGTCTGACTCTTTCTATTTTCCTTAAGTTGCAAAGCCCAGTGTTGAGGTGTCATTGTGTGTGAGAGGGAGAGGGAATGGATCTGGTTTCTTTGAAAATGGCTTCTTTGCTAAAACGACAACTTCAGATCTGATCCTAAAAAAAATCTGCTGGCACTGGCCCCTGTCAAAACAATTTGGAGATATCCAGGGGCCATCCTCTGGGGCTGGCAGCCGGCCCCCCAGCTGAGCCTCATGCTCAAATTCCCAACAGGCTCAGAGGCAGGCCCCAAACATGCTCTATCCTACAGCCCCATTCCTCCCATGCAAAGGTGGCCGGAGAGGAGGAGAGAAGGGCTTGGCATTCTGAAGCAAAATTCTCTCTCTCTGCTGCACCCCCCTCAGGCCTGCCCGCCACCTTTGCAGAAGCCACACACACACTCACGCACGAACATTTTCAGAAAGCCCTTGGCACAGCCCAGCCCTTCCTAAGCTGGACAGAGCTGCCAGAGTGGATCTGCCCTGGCTGAGGCTGCCTCCTTCATCCCCAGCCCCCTCCCATTCCTCTTCTAGAGTTAAGGTTTTGTCAGGAGTTTCAGGGGCAATGACTGGCCAGGGAGGGGGGGCCATAGACATCCTGCCTGCTTCCAAGTCCCTTTCTTTCCCCAACAGTGTGTCTTATAAGTTGTCATGTAGTTTATTATTCTCCTAAACACTTCCATAGGGTACAGGGCCTGGAGTTGCCATAGAAACACCTTTTAACTCCTCCTCCCCCAGAACGCCGTGCCAGGCCCTAGGACTTTGGGGAAAAAAAGACAGAAAGAGACACCTGTGGATGAGCAGAGAGAGAGGGAAAGGCCATCAGGCAGCCCCCCGGGAGAGGGCCGGGCCAGGCCTCCTGTGCCTTTTGCTAGGCCAACATGGCACCAAGCCATGAAGAGAAAACCACCATGATGGTTTTAAAAGAGGAAGTTGACAGGCTTGCATGAACACCTTTAGGGGGCTACAAAGTTGACTGGTGGGGTTGTGCAGGTCCCAAGGAATGGGGAGCTCCTTCATATTTTTTTGAGGGAGAGAATGGACAGAGTTTCAACCCAGACTGGAAACCAGAAAGGCTCTGAGCAAGGAAACTTGGGAGCCAAGTGCTGGATGCCAGCAGGTTGCTGTGCAAGGCGAGGGAGGTCGGCAGGCAAGCAGCTCACACCCACACCTCCCATTTTAAAAGCATTAGCTCATCCCTGCCACTAGTGCAGTGCACCAAAGCCAGGCAGAACAATTTGGGATCTGTGCCAGAGCATCGAAGATTTTTTGTTTCTTTTTTTTCTTTTAGATTCCATAATCTCCTGGTCTTTGGGTACTTCCTGGTAACTTAGCTTTTCTCTGGGAAATTTATGAAGAGGAGCAAGGGAGCTATTTCTTGAATCAATCCAGAGAAATTGTAAGAAACTTTCTGCATCGCTCAGACCCACCGCAGGAAACCTAAGCAGTAAACAGACGGGAAGGCCCCCATTGGAAGCAGGATCTACTCACGCTGTTTGCACTTTTCCGTCATCAATTTCTAGGGTAGAAACCCTAAAGCAAAGGGCAAGGGGGAAGAATGGGGACCCACTCCCACTACATACCAAAAAAACATAGATGAACCCACCCAGCTCATTTTCCAGCAGAAAAAGACTTGGGCTGCACCCCTGCACACCCTGATTCCACCTGCCAGCCTCCTGGCCGCATGTGTGCGCTCCCCCTGGGCAAAACTGGAACTCAGCCGTAGCAGCAACTCCCCACACTAATCAGGTGGGAATGTCACCAACTGGGATGAGGAGGGAAAGGATAAGTGGAATGTGGGTGAAGGTGGTCACGGGAAGAGGGAGGAAAACCCTCCCCAGGCTTCAGGCTGCCCAAAAGGATCTTTCTAAGCAATCCACAAACCCAGGACCAGCTGGGTTCCCCCGGAGGGGGAGGGGAGGATGTACCCTGCAGGCCCCAGGGAGCCTCTTACAAGGGTGACCTCAGGTCACACAAACACCCTCAGCTGCCAACTGCACTGACATTCTGGTCACCACACCCCTACTCTGACCTCTAGGCTCAGCCCAGCCCACCAGCAGTGCCCCTCCTGGCCTCCACTGTCTCCCCTGCCAAGCTCCTGCCTCCTCCCCCTCCTCACCACAACACACTGGTAGAGTCCCTCACCCAAGACTCAGTGGAAAATTTCCTTCTCCTTTATGACTGTACTTAAAACACACACGCTCCATTCTTCACCTCTGAATCGACACAGGCAGAGGGCGGCAAGGCTGTCCCACCCCACCGCCCAGCCCAGCGCGTAAACACACACACTCTCCCAGGAGGGCCACTGGACTTGCACACTTTATGGGCTGGAAAGGAGGAGAGAAATGTTTCCCAGATGCCACTCCGCCTTTGGCCATCCAAACACGACTGTCCCAAACACTCCCAGACAAGCCTCCCAGGATGCTCTCGGGGCCCTCCATACACGCTAAGGAGTAGGAGGTCTACTCTTTACAGGGTCTCTCTACTCAAGACACTAAGTCCAGTCTGGAACTGTCACCGTGATGTGACCCCTTGGCAGCTTTGTTCTTTTGGTGACAAATCTGTTTTCCACTGCCCATTCTCCCCCTCCCCACATGCATTCAAGGAAAAAAAAAATAGCCTTCCTGTGAATTTTCACAGCTATGTGGTAAGTGACCCCTCGCACACGCCACCTTCTGCTGGCTATCAGCACTCTCAAACACAGTGGCTCCAGGGGGTGGGTCAACGCCACAGCTTTCTCCTCATTTTCCCCCTTAAATCCACCCAAACTTGGCAGTCCCAGAAGCTCAGTTAGCGCTTGCTTGGGAAGCCTGCAGCTGGGTTGGGTCTCAGTGAAAAGAATGAATTTCATGGGCGCAGGCGATGATGCAGACTCAGAGTACTCCTAGTTTCTCCTGCAACTTTCCGTGCACATGGCTGGCAACTTTTTTTTTTTTTTTAAACTATTCAATTTCCCAGCACTTTAGTTAGTATTCCAAGTTTGGGGAACCCACCCTTTCCTCACCCTTCTCTTCTAGCCCTTCCTCGTTAGTAGTGAATGGGGACATTTTCCAGATGTCAAAAGGACCAGTAGGAACCCCACGCCCTAAGTTAGGAAAGCAAAGGCGGCCAGGGGCTCACTCAGCCACTGTGAGCCTCCTCCGCAGGGCATCTTCCCCTCTCAGTTATGCCAGCGCCCCCGCCCAAGGACATCGAGTTTCTCCACTCCGTCCCAACCCCATTTGCCCCTCTCCTGGGGCAGAGGAAAGGAGTGGGGCTCGCCCTGCCTCCCTAAGCAGCGCTGCAGTCCCGGCTGCAGCTTGGAGCTCGGGCGGGGCACCAGGAGCGCTTACCGATGTCGGAGTTGCAGAAGGCGTCCTGGGGGTGGCTGGGCGAGCATGTGCACGCCTCGGCGCCCCAGTCCCCCAGGCTCCAGCTGCCCAGGAGCACGATGAGCCCGAGCCAAGGAGTCATTGCCGCTGCTGCCGCCGCTGCCGGGGCTGCTGCTCGCCTCTCCAAAGTTGCCGTGCGCGCCGCCGGCGGGGCTGCTGCAGCCCGAGCTCGCTCGCCCGCCGGGCCGTGCGGGGCAACTTTGGCCTCCGGCGCGCTGCCCTCCGAGTGCCCGGCGGGACGGGATGGGGTGCGGCGAGGCTGCCTCGGCGCTGGCGCAGGACTCCGCGGGCGGCCTCCCTGCGAAGGAGCAGGAGCTGGAGGAGCAAGAGGAGGAGGAGAAGCCGTCTGAGCGCCCGCCGCCTTCCTGCTGCCCGCTCTGCGCCGCTGCTTGGGCGGCCGAGTGATATAGCGCTGGGCCCCCGGGGACCCCGCCTCGGGCTGTTGGGGCCCGCCCCCTCAGACCAATGGCAGAGCCGCATTACCTCATCGGCCCTCCAAAAAGGGGGCGGGGCCGGGGGCACGGGGCAACGGGGCGGGGCCGTCCCCGGACCGTTCAGATCCTTATAGGGAATAATACCGACGTGGGCACGCGAGTGGGTGGGCTGGGGCGCGCCCGGGACCGGTGCTTGCAGCTGGGTCCTCCGAGCGGCGCCCTCGTGCCCCTTCTCGTCTGTGCCCTCTCCCCACGCTCACCTGGGCCACTGGGTGCCTCTGACCCAAACCAGAACGAACTACCACCCACCCACCCCAGCAGGACCGTTTACACAGGTCAGGGGTGGCCATGTCCTAGAGACCTTGACTGAGCCTGGTGGAACCAGTGGGGGAATGCTGACTGCTACCCCGAGCAGGGACAGAGGAGGAAGACCCAAACACTCTCTCTCTCTCTGTCTCTGTCTCTCTCTTTCTCTCTCGTTCTTACTCTCTGGGATATGGGAAGCCATCTGCCTTTTGCAGCTGGCTATGATACATGATAGAAGACTGTTTTTCTATGCTCCCCCAGAGCAAACGGGGTTCTGTATTGATTCAACAAACACGGTTCAGGATGCTGGGTTAAGCAACACAAAGCCCTTGCCCCCGTGCACATCAACGAATGCACAGGGTGATTTTCTATGATGCTAGGGCTATGAAGAAAACAAAACAGAGTTCAGGGTTGGACGTGACTGGGGAGGGCGCTGCTCTCTCTGCAACAGTAAGGGAAGGGCTCCCTGAAGTGCCATCTTCGCTGAGAAGTGGACAAAGAGAAGGATCAGCTATGGGGCAAGCCACAGGAGAGAGGTACCAGGCAGGGGGAACAGCAGGTGCAAAGGCCCTGGGCATGTTTGGAAGACAGAAAGTAGAAAGGCAAGAGGAAGTGGTTCCCCGCCCATGGCTGACAGGGCTCCACCCTTCAGCAAGGGATTTGGGGGTGAGCTGATCCAAAACTCTAGTAAAACCAGGAGAATGATCCAGGATCCTAGATGACTAACTATAATGGATGATTGCAAATAACTAACACAATTACTATCCTTATTATTGACATCTTGATTCTGCTTTGTATTTTTAAAAGCGGGATTTTGTACCTCACCTTATAGCTCTCACAATAATCTTTGTAGATAGGAAAAGCAAGCACAAGTATCACTGCCACTTTCCAGATGAGGAACCCACACAGAAAGATGGGATGATTGGTGGCCAGCCAGGAACTCAAGTCACCCCTTTCCACTGCCCCTTCCCATCTGAAGAGAGACATGCATTTCCCTGAACATCAGCAGCTGTTCCATCTAACTGCAAATGGCCATTTGCAGCTGGGATCTTCCATCTTTCTACACTTGCGTCTCTTTTCCTTTCTCTTCCACTTCATCCTGTTAGAAATGCTACAAGTTTGGAACAAATAGAAACAGGGAGAAATGCAAGTTCAGCTTGTTTCTCAGAACTCCTCTGTTTACATCTCAGAGAAGTGACACTGGGACAGCAGAGGCCGAAGAATTCGTGAGAGATGGTATTTTATTTCCAAGAACATTTTTGAAACTCCTTTCTCCTGTTTGAGCATTTTAGCCATAGGAAAGGGAAACCAGTTTCCACATGATTTTGACTTGTCCCCCTCGCCCCGGCCCACCACCCAGCTTTAAAAACCCTCCCTGCCTTCACTCTAACTGTGGCCTGACTCTTAGAGATATTTCTGTCTCTCGACATTTTTCTAGCACTGTTTTCATTGTTTTATGGGGTGTGATTCTATCACTTCTCCAACCACAGTAAGAATACTTTGAGTCCTGAGATATTTAACCACACTGCCTTTTAGCCCTCTGAGAACCAAATAGGGTCTCAGGAGACTGGAGAGCATGGGTGTGGCCAACAGCTGACTGAGTCCTGAGCAAAGAGTGCCCTGGAGGCCACTCTAAGGATCCAGGTTGAATGAGGGCGTACGTGGTGGAATTCGAGAGATTCGCTTATCCCCGTACTCCACATGACTTATTCCACAGTCATGTGGAAGGTTTTAGAAGACTTTCCAGACCAAATCCACTTTGGATAAGCATCTTACATGATAGAGGCCCTCTCTTCTCTTTCTTTTCACCTTACAGTTTTGTCCCAAGTGCCGATATTTTCTCCAACGGAAGGCCTTGCCTGGAATTTAAGTATCAAGTAGATAACTTCCACTGAACTTCAAGCAGCAGTTTTCTCATAGAAAGCATCGGAAGCGTTTTATTCCGGCAGCTACTTAATTATGAAAGCACAAGTGTAATCTGATCTTTTTTCCAGCTGAAAAGTAATGAAATCACCTTTCGGTTAATTTCTTCTCACTCCTGATCCTAAGCTGGTCCACACAGTGTCTTGAAGTTCAGCGAATTCCAAGAGCTTTTCAGTTGGGATGTTCTCTCTTATTCCTAACCTGAGTCAGTTCCCCTCTGCCCACCGTGTGAAGGCAGTTTGGTTCTCACCGTAAGGAAAAGAAAGAGCAAACTCCATGAATCCTTGCGTAGGGCAGTCCTCCTGCTAGGGTCACCCCCTTCAGCAGGCACCCATCAGTCTGGATGTCATGGTGTCCATGAGCCTAATAATATGTAAGAATTGTTTATTCAATGCCACTTAATAAGATAGGTGGGTTGAACCTGAGGCTAATGGTAAGAATGAAGATGCAGGCTGGGTGCGGTGGCTCATGCCTGTAATCCCAGCACTTTGGGAGGCCGAGGTGGGCAGATCACGAGGTCAGGAGTTCGAGACCATCCTGGCTAACACGGTGAAACCCCGTCTCTACTAAAAATACAAAAATTAGCCAGACGTGGTGGCGGGTGCCTGTAGTCCCACCTACTCGGGAGGCTGAGGCAGGAGAATGGAGTAAACCCGGGAGGCGGAGCTTGCAGTGAGCGGAGATCGCTCCACTGCACTCCAGCCTGAGCGACAGAGCGAGACTCCATCTCAAAAAAACAAAAACAAAACAAAAAAAAGAATGAAGATGCAGGCTCTCCTGCTTTCCCTTGACAGCTAAGAACAATGATAGATTTATAAATCTGGGAAGAACTGAATAAGTTTCAAGATCTATCTGGCCCGTCTACCCACCTACCAGGATGACCTGGTATTCCCTTTCCTGAAACTTTTCTAGGAAAGGTGAGTTCATATCCACCCTCTGTGTATCAAGTTATAGGATGCTAGAGTCTGTGGGAAGAGAAGTCGTAAAAAGGACCTCAGAAACTACCCATCCTTGTTTTAAATGTGGGAAAAAGAAGGTTCAGACAGGTGAAGGAACGTGCCCATTTGCAGGGCTCAGTCCTCCAAGCTGTAAGGTGTGGCCCATGCTTGAACTGTGGCCTTGGAAACCCCAGCCATTCACAGATCTCGTATCTGCTTTTCCGATCTGCAGACAGATTCGTGTGAGTCTCTTTGTACAGTGCTCAGCCCACAGAGAACTTTTACATACATGGATTAAATAATTATCTACTATGATAATAATCGCCCTCTGAGCCAATCAGAAGAAATACAGGTTTATCCTTATGACAGGTTTATCTATTTTTTCCCTTCCTAAATTACTAGCTAATGCATTCCAAACATATCACCATAGAAAGGCACATGAAAACTTTGTTTCTGGGAAATGAAAAGAGAGTAGAGTGGAAAAAAAAATCAAAATACCTGAGATTCATTCCCAGTGTTGCAGAATAGCTGTGCACCTGCCTTAGTCAGGTCACTTTGCCTGTCCAGGCGTCGACTTCTGTGTTTATTGGATGAAAGATAGAACTCAGTGGTATCTAGGATCCCTCTCGCCTCAGAAACTCCAAGGTTCCACGGAAAATCCTGAAGGACAAGTGAATGCTTCTGAAGGGGAGATGAGTCCTGCCATTTAAACAGGTTTGACACAAGGGAACGTACCCAAGACTGAAGACCATCCATCAGTTTCTCAACCAACACTGAGTTCCTATACTGCTACCTCCCCCAAGAATCGATGCTGAAAACAGAATTTCAGAGAAGATTGTGATGCCAAAGTCCTCGGAGAGACGGGGTCTGGCTTCCGGTGGAGCCCAGGGTAGTTGTGTGTTCACCTGCTCGTTTGTCTCTTGGATCATAGCACTAAAAGGTTAGGAAGGAGTCTTTTTTATCTCCATTTTTTTTGGTCTTCAGAAGTTATTGAATTCTTCCACATCCTTCAGACCTCAGCTTAGATGTCACCTCCTCCGGGAAACCTCCTCTGATTCCTCTCCCATGTATCCCCACAACACCCTGTATTAACTTCTTCGACAATACTTAGCTGACTCTAATGTGATTGTTTACCCACCGGTTTCCCTTCCTGGACTGTAAGCCCCTAGTAAACAGGAATCAAGTGTTGGTAACAACGAATTTAATAAGTATGGGTTGAATGGGTCCAATGATCAGCACCACCGACCCCTTTCCAGCATTCGGACAGGCAGGTGGTGGTGGCTCCTTGGAGAGTTCACGGAGCTCTATCCCTCTGGCCAGTGCTAGGGGGCGCTATAAGCCAGAGAACACCCATTTGCTCAGTCTGCAGACCTGGTCGGTCGTCTCACTGCAAGGGCGGGAGAGCACAATTCCACACTCATCGGTGGGGTGCGGGTGCCTTTGAGTGGGTGAAGCTCACCCCTCCCATCTGCCATGGCCACAAAGCTCTCAGTCAACATCCCGTCTGGGTTCGTGGCTGCCGG